GTCGGTGCCGAAGTTGCCCTTGGTATAATTTAGGTTAGTATTAAATTTTGGCGAAATCTGTCAATAACCACACCTCCCATGTAGTAATCAACAATATTTTTGTTTTATTATTTTTTTCACGAATTTCGCTGTTAAAATTTACATTTCAAATATACCAACAAACATTTGTGGGTACTTTTGCACCAGTCATTGCCTATGGGTTAATGACAAAAGAATCCAATACATGCAGAATATTTCATGTATTAATTTTCAAATAAGCATATTGTCAATGGCTGGTTTACTGTATACTGTGATGCTGACCTTGTATAGTATGGTAGTTTCATTTCAAAATTTTTGACAAAAAATAAGTTTTTGAAGTTTCATAAATTGCACAAAATTATGAGCTACCTTGCCACATTGATATCAATGAAACAATACATCAGAGGGTCTAATGTTGTGCGTTGGAAATGTTCGGTTATTTGTAAAATGATTTTTTGGTGGGGAGCGGAAACGGAAGGTGCGTGTCACCAAAAACTTACTAGAAAGAGAACAGTATAAACTTTAAGATAATTCACCCTTCGCCTCCCTGCCCCTTCTACAGACACTCGGGGCCCATTTCAAAATGGGGTAAAATTAGCATTTTCGCAAAGAAAAATTAAACTCGTGTTAGGCCATCAGTAGTGGGTACTCTTTTCCATTTTTGTAGCCTTCGGCCGCGCTAGTGAAAATAACCTCATCAGTCCAACTCTGGTTACGCCATCCACAGTATATTTGGGCAAAATTGACCTCCAAATTAACTTCAGCAAAACAACATTTCAGCATGCTGCATTTAAATCTATTTTGGTATATTTAAAGGTAAATTATGGTACAAACGAAAAATGTCATATGGCAACCATAGTCAGCACACACTAAAGTAAACAAACTGGAGATTAATAGCAAATTAACGAAAAATATACTCAATGAATGTTGTGCTTATTAAATTTACGCACTTTTTAGTTGTATACTAGCATTAAAAATAAAAATTGCAATAATAACTCAAAAAGGCCATATTTTCTTTTGTTTATTTACAAACATGTGTTTGTGATCAGCTGATTTTCTTACTTGCAAGTTTTAGCTGGGAAAAATTATTCCAGCAGAAATTTGCAGCTCTCTTTCACATTTTGCTCTCTCAATTTCCCCTACTTTGCAAGTTTTTTGGGTACGAGAACGCAAAACCAGTAAAAGTTTTCTAAAACTTTAGATAGTTGGGCGTACGAGTACACACCTATTGTGCCAGACGTCATTTTTAATTAAAAAAAAAATTAGTTTTCAAATCATTTTAGTAAAGCTCAAAATCTAATATGACGTTGTTTAAGTACTAATGAATCTAAAATTAATTTGCCAGACATTAATTCGGTTGCTAAAGCAAGATCCAGACCGATTTAAAGCTGAAAAGTATAACGCTGGTAGCAAGGGAGGTAGTAGCAAAATTGTGAATTTTCATAGGATTTTTGTATGAAAACTGGAAACTATAACTACTTATCTAACCTTATAACACAAATCAAATTATTAGAATATCAAAAAATAATTATTTTTTTCAAA